TCTGATCTCATGCACAAGACCGCATTGCCGAACGTCAGACCAGGAACCATGACCCCTTTCCATATTCCTCTCAACACATCATACCTATTGTAATTCCACAGTGCCCTGTTTTTCATTACCGCTGCATTCCTGTTACCTTTAGTCGTCACGTATATTTCGTGTTCCCTTAGGTACTCGGTCCCATTGCTTATCCGTACGCCGAGATATTTGTATTTATCTGTTATCTCTAGCGTGACCTCCTGTATTCTAAGCTCACTACGTTCACTGTCATTAAAATTCATGACTGCTGATGATTGAAGGGAGGTCAGGGGGCCGCAGTGTCTGGCCACAGCTCGGAGCCTCCGTGCTGTGGCCAGACACTGCGGCCCCCTGACCTCCCTTCTCGCCTGTTCCTTCCTGCCTGTCGCCTTCTCCGCTACTCACGCCATCCGTCTTTTCAAGACTTCACGGGGCAAAAGATTTCAAGACTTCACGGGCCATGATGACAAATTCCAAATCAAACGAATCCTTCTTCCTCTGATAAGTGTATATCTTTTATTCACGTGCACATACACTATTCCAGACTCCGCTTGTTCGCTTCACAAACACGCTTGATGACAGTGACCGCACGGCACGAGCAGGCGATCGAGAAGGCGAAGTGCACGCTGCCATTATTTGTGTTTTGTTGCTTGACGTCATCACAACTAGCCAGACTGCTGCGTGAAGTCGTCAGGAGTAGTACTGTAGCCTGACGTCAAGTTAGTGTCGATGTCTGAAGGTGTGCCCCGAGAAAATTGACATGAAATATCAGCATTTTCTGAGCCTCGTACTTGCTGAGAGCTGTCTCTGTATACAGGAGATTTGCATGGCAGAGTAAACTCTCCTCCCCAAAAAGATGTCAGTACCTTTTCAATACGTCATATATTGCATGGCTGAGGCATAAAATCGTGCCAGGCATCAAAGGATATGAATTGAGCAACAAGTAGGCGTTTTCAAGACTCGCACATTACGAAGCGCTGCAACATATTTTATCATTGTCAGCCGTGAAACCATCAATAATGTGATCATCTGGGCAGATTCGCGTGCTGGCTTACAGAAACAAAGTGAGGTTTTCGCTGATTTGCAAAGTAAATAGTACTGGGAACTCTACAAGTGTGCTTGCAATAGGCATTCAATAGCACTTTGAAACAACCGATGCTAGGTGCACAGTCATTAGTTTCCTTATGTTACAGGCTGAGGCATGCACCGATAATTGCAGAAGGCGAACAATATAGAAGACATTGTGCACGAGGACCGATTACGCTATCTCGATCGACTCTTGATGGCGAAGCTCAAGCGTGGTCCAAATCTATATTTGTGGGGTTGGGGGGGTTGGGGGTATACTGGCATCGGCACTGTTGTTCCAAATGCCTGGTAGTGTCATACGGAATGTTAGCCGTGCTAAACGTTTTAAAATTTACCCATTGGGGGATCCCATGTTCAGGTATTTATGGAAAGCTTTAAATGCATTCATACTGCTCTTGCACGCACATGCTTTGCCATCATAGTTTATAAGTGCTGTGCTTCGCCTTCCTGGACTCGGTTCCATGTTTAGTACCTAACGTCCTTCTTGTGTAATTTGTGGCACTAGATGTTGCTGTGTTTTAAGGCAAAAGTTTTTAACGTCTCATACTCGTCATATCTGGTCTCCTGGCACGGCTATGGCGTCTCCCCATGAAGCACTGGGAGTGTAAAAGACAGACATGGCATAGTCAGTCGAACGGCCATAGGCTTCTACAAAACACACTTGGCCATTCAAAATTTTCTTATTTTTCACAGTAGCGATACTCTTACACCACTTTGCTTTAGTTGTACTTTTTGTCTTGCCAAGACTAACTCTGTCCTTTTGCTGAAAATGCATTGTTCTGACTTTTCCAGACATGTTGTGCTGTTGTTCAGGCCAGCCAGCTCATCTGGGCGCTCGGAAGGTAAAACACACGTGGAAGTGTTCCGAGTGTGACTATACTACAAGTAGACACGGTCATATTGCAGAACACCGAATGACACACACAGGTGTGCGTCCATACAAATGCGACTACTGCGGAAAAGCCTTCAACAAGAAGAGCAACTTGGACAGGCATATTCTCATCCACACCGGCGAGAGGCCTTACCAGTGCCCCCTCTGTCCCTGGGATTTTCCATTGAAGACATACCTTAAACGCCACTTGCGAACTCACAGGCGCAGCAAACATTTGCCTCGGGGTGCACACGGTGTGAACCGCAAATGAAAGGGCTGAGGAGACACGTAGTGCATACGTCTTGTTCTGGGGCTTCAAGTGCGTTGCCAAAAGTGCTAGGCCTGGGGCTACATTGTCCATTCCCCGATGGAATCTGCAACTCTGGGCCATGTAGAAGTAGTTCACCAAATTTATTGGATGGCGTGACGAATTTTGAAGACTTGCTCATGTAGGTGTGCATTGGACTGTGTGTGTAGTGGCTGTCAATCATTATGTATTTTCATTTGTGTGTTTATTTATGCTGCAAATTTTTAATGCATCAAGTAATTTATGAAGTACTGGTTTCTTGTGGTTTAGGATTGAGTCGTTCCTGTGGCTTGAGAATAAGCCACTTTGTGTGCTTTTTCTTTGTGATAGTGAATGCTTATTGTTTTTCACTGACCTGTGTTCTGTATGACTGTCTGAGCTTAACATTTATTTCAACACAGAAACCTTCCGTAGTTATATAATTCCTTAGTTGTAGCAGTGAGATTTCATATGATGTTCTTGAAGGCCTCGTAAACCAACCAGAGGCCGAAATTCAGTTGTGGTGGGGAAATTGTGCATGAGTGCGTGACGAACACGGAGCCGTAAGAATTTTTTTACATGATGCAATAATAGTGGAGTTAGACGTGTTTGATTATCCCAACAAAGCGTGACGACCACACCTTTCACTCTCTCCTAAGCTTTTCTTTGCTGGTATCTTCTTTTATGCCACTTTGCTATTTCCCCGAGTGCCTCTCCTATAGCCCTCCCAATCTCTCACGGCATATGTCATCATTGATGCGCTGCTTGAAACGTCTACTTCTGGTTGCCGCGACTCCGGCCGTCAACTCCCTCAGTTTTGTTATAGCTGCGTGCTTGTTGGCGAATTGTGGCGGTATAGACTCTGCGTTGCACACACGATTTCAAAGGATCGCCAATGCAATGGAATGGTAGGGTGACTGACGCGCCGTGCCCAGCACGTGCTGCATGCATGCGGCGAACACGACGAACAACAACAAGCAGCGCGGACAGCTTCTTGCAGACCGACCGGGAGTCGTAGGCTCTTGCTTGACCACTCACAGCAGATTTGGCATGTTTGTCCAGTGTGTCAGAGATGTGGCACGGCGTGTCACGCGGAGGCCGAAAGGGCCGGAAAGAAGGAGGGATCGTTTTGGGGAATTTGTGGCACACTGGCGGCTCGTGGGGCTGCCTTGTGTAGAATCGTTGATCGCGATGGCATTCCACATACGATGCGCGTGTTTACTTGAAATGCTTGAAGAAATATCCGAGGTGGTTTCCGAGCCCGATAAAAGTGGACGCATACTAGTGTTATTGACTCTTTTCTGGGCAGCTGTGTGGCTTCCGAGATGTCTGATGGCAGCTCCTGTCAAAAAAAAAAATGCTTCTTGGGCCTAATATTACTACAGGTGACGGCCAACTAACCATTTGTTTAGTGGAGCCAAAAAGGATGTATTTCATGATGTGTTAATTTTTGTGCACCAGTTTTGTTCCATGTCACACATATATTGTCTCTTTCTAAGCTTTGAAGCACCGCCTGGTTTTGTGTTAACATTTAAAAGCAAGGCCATTTCTCACGATCTTTGGCAAGTTCCGTTTATTTCAGACTACATCAATGAACTTGAACTGCTGCTGCTTTTATTTTCTGCAATATCATCAAAATTACCATGTGCTTATGTGCTTATAAAGTTATGCCTCTTAGGCTTCCTAACGTACCTTGATAGCATACATTATCATGTGAAGAACGAAATTGCTGCCCAGTTCATCAGAAAATGTTATGCACAGTACCCAGTGCACCTATTTTATTATGACACTGTGCTCACTTTCCGTTTTCATCACGTGTCTTGCGCATGTCCTCTAACTTGCGTTCTTCCTCATTCGTCATTGCAAGTCTCCTCCTCCGTTTGTCCACTTGGAGTGTGCACTTACTTTCAGCTAGTTAGCAACATGTGTAAGGGTAATAGATCATCACCAAAGTGACCACAATAAGTCAGTTATCAAAGCAGCGGTGGATATAACGAATCACTCCCGAGTGCTACCTTCTTGATCTTTCAGAATATTCCTTGCTGCAAAACCTCTAGAAATTGAGAAAATTTTATGCCGTAGACAAGTTTTTCAATTTGGTTAGGTTGATGGAAGCTTGCAAGGAAGATGGAAGCGTTGCAAGCTTAAGATGGAAGCTTGCAATGAAAAAAATCCGTAAGCAGGGTTTGTGTGCAAAAGCCAACGTTTGAATCAGTGGACTTGTAGAAACCTCAGCTCGAGCACACAACTGCTGTTAACAGGTTTTTTTTATCATCACATACCTGCAGCTTAACACCTTGGGTTGTCGTTCCAACTCTCATTTGCTGGTATGACCTCTTTCTCAGTGGTTATTGAGAAGCATGACGTAAAGGTGAGACCAGGTCTATATGCTGTATAGCTGCCGAAACAGTAGCATGCCAAGACGCAATGTTAATTGTACTGAATACTTTCAAATAGACTCCATCAATGGAAACGATTATGGTGCACTTGTTAAAACACACGTAACTAAGAAAATTTGGGTGCACCTACAGTGTTTTTTTTTCACGTGTAGATGTTAACACAAGTTATGAGAGTTGTGTTTTTCAAGCAGTTATATGAATTTTCTTGTCATAATTCTATGTTTTCTCACTTTTCGCTGTCGCTAGCTTTCAACCCCAGTGCAGAGTAGATGTTCTAGCTAGCCTTCCTTCAGTAACAGGTTTGTCCTTTGCTGAATATTCACTGTTTTTCATCACGCAGACTTGGCTGCTGTACGCCGTCGCCCTGGCTGGCCACCTCATGTGGGATCTCCCACAGAAGAGCGTGTGTTCAAGTGTCAAGTGTGTGGCTATACTACAAGGTACAGGCTTAATCTACGGAGACACCAAATTATTCATACAGGCGAGCGTCCATTCAAATGCGGTTACTGCGGAAAAACCTTCATTCAGAAGACCCACATGGTCGGGCACATTCGCACCCACACCGGTGAGAGGCCTTACCAGTGCCATCTCTGTCCCTGGAATACTGCACGGAAAAGTCATCTTACTCGCCACTTCAAAACTCACAAGTGCAGCCAACACTCACCTCAGGGTGCACACGGGTGAATCGCAAAGAAAAAGATTGAGGAGACGTCTTGTTCTGTGGCTTCAAGTGCGTTGTCAAAAGTGCTAAGGTGAAGACTACATCGTTCATGCCTCGGGGAAACCTGCAACTGTGCTGCTTGAACGACATAAAGGACGTGTGTAACTCCAGGACACGGGCCAACAATATGCAAAACTTAGTGGATGTTGTGATAAATGTTGAAGACTCGTTTATGTGGGTGTGCATTGAACTATGTTTATGGTACATGCAAGTGATTATGTGCTCTAATTCGTGTCTTTGTGCATGCTGCAAAGTTGCATTGCATTAAGTGATTTCTAAAGTACTGGTTTGTTAATGCTCAGGATTCAGTCATTACTGCAGCATCAGAATAAGTCACTTGATGTTTTTTTTGCGAACGCCTCTCATTCTTCACAGAGGTGTGCTTTGTGTCGTGGTGTAATGATAACACTCATGTGTCTATATTTCTACGATTCTTTACTTTTAGCAGGCAGATCACTCGTGATTTCCTAACGAGTGTACATATATTCTTACTTTCTTGTGGTAAGCTGTGTGGCTTTCAAGATGTTTTCATGCCTGATGGCAGCTCCTGCCCATTTTTTAGAAAGAATGCTCCTTGGACTTATTACTACATTATTCAGGTGACCACCAACAATCTTTTCATTAAACGGAGCCAAAGATGATGTATTTATTTCATGATGTGTGAATTTTTGTGCACCAGTTGCTATATTCTATATCGCACACATACTGTCTTTTCTTTTTGCTAGGTTTGAAGCACCACCTGCTTTTGTGTTCACATTAAAACGTGAGGGCATTTTTCACGAGCTTTGGCAAGTTTCATTTATTGCAGACTACGTAAGCAAACTTGGACTGCTGCTTCTGTTATTTCCTGTGATATCATTGAGATGACCATGTGCTTATACTTTTATGAAGCTGTACCTTTGAGGCTTCTTAATGTACTTTGATAGCATACGTCTTAATGTGAAAAATGAAATTGCTACCTAGTTCATCAGAAAAAGTTATGTACAGAAGCCAGTGCACCTATTTTATCATGACACTGTGCTCATTTTCTGTTTTCATTACAAGTCTTACGCATGTCCTGTGCAGTGCTTTCTTCAGTCATCATTACGAATCTCCTCCTTTGTTTGTCTACTTGGAGAGAAGTGCACATATTCACTTACTTTCAACTAATTGGCAAGAATTGTAAGGGTAATAGATCATCACAAATGTGGCCACAATAAGTGAGGTGTGAAAGCAGGGGCGGATATAACGAATCACCTCTGAGTGCCACCTTCTTGACATTTCAGAATATCACTTGTTACACAACCTCAATTAAATTAAACAATTCTATGACGGATACAAGTTTTTCATTTTGCTTAAGTTAATTGGCTGTGATATTTTACAACTCATTGGAACTTGGCTTCAAGGGACATTAAAGTCAAGTAACAATTTACGTCAAAGTGAAAGCTCAATGTATGACAACATCTAAAATGACAATATTATTAACAACAGTGCCCTACTTACAGAGAAATTAACGTAAATGCACAACAACACAAGCGCCGCAGTAGGACATTTTCAAAATGAACCCGATGACATCAAATGGACCGCCTACATTTAATCACTAGTAATTGATCTAACTGCACTAAATAAAGAACCTTCCCTGCATCGAGAGATGCAATAAAATTCAGCTTGTTTGTTTCTGTTTGATTCATGAAAGAAAAAAAAAAAAAAACCCGCCGGACGTTACTATGGGGAATGACGCGAGCGGTTCAAAAATTCAATTTTCGCGTGGTTACACGAGACAGGTGGTGTCATCTAGCGGGGAGTAGTTGAAACAAAAGTGTCTGCAATATCAAAGCCAATGGCGGTAAATTGATCAATGGCTGTTGTGGCCGCTGTGGCTCCCGCTGCTTTCGATCTGCTGCCACTAACGCAGTAAAGCCGGGTAACGTTGCGCACGACAACAGGGACGCGAGACGGTCCGGATGGTCCGCTTCTTGAGGCGGGTAATTTGAAGTGCGGATGCGGAGCACTAAAACATAATTTCATTTCAAAATAGGTCCATTCTTGGCACGAAAGTAACACTACGAGGTTTCTGGATCGCCATTTAAACAATAGACGTCGACTTTTGCCTTTAGTGTCCCTTCAAGAACTATACAGATATTAGGAATGTAGCAAGTGTTAAATTAACATAGGTACAAAAAATGGTCGGGGGCAAGTCAGCAGTTCTCACTATTCTTTTTTGCCATGGAAATGTCTTTGTAGTGGACTACTTGAAATCTGTAACAACCTATTCACGATATATGTCGATGCCATTTTTGTTGTTTAATATGTTAGGAAATATTGCAGGAAATACACAAATAAATAATTTCAAGGCTGCCTTTTTTATGTGTTTTGACATGCTCTCTCACTTTTCTCGATGTTGTTTAGGGTGGGAAATGCTAAATAGAAAACCGGTGGCAACAAGACATGGCGGTGTGACATGGGACCAAACGAAAGACATGAGCTTCCCTCTGCTTCATTTTTGTATTGTGTGAGAGTCATTGTGCCTTACGTTTCATTGCAATTGGTTCACTTGACACCGCATTCAAAGCGCTCACTATTTTCTGTCATTGCTGGATGAATAAGCCGTTCTTCTGCTGCATCTTAACCACTTCACAATGTTAGCTCCAGTACTAGTAAACAGACCTTCGATGAAAAGCCATATTATAGCGTTTCGTAGCTTTAAGATCGCAAACAAAGAAAAGGGTTCTTACGTTGATGCATTTGCAGCCTTAAATATATGCATAAGGGTTCTCTCACATTGTTCAGGCAACAACGCCTCACGTGTAGACGGCAACACAGGTTATGAAAGTTCCGTTTTTTCAAGCAGTTATGTGAATATTCTTGTCGTAATTCTGTTTCCTCACTTTTCGCTGTCACTACCTTTCAACTCCAGTCTAGAGTAGTTGTACTAGATAGCTTTCCTTCAGTAACAGCTTTGTCCATTGAGAAATATTCACCCTTTTTCATCACGCAGACTCGGCTGCTGTACGCCGTTGCCCTGGCCAGCCACCTCGTGTGGGATCTCCCAGAGAAGAGCGTGTGTTCAAGTGCCAAGTGTGTGCCTATACTACAAGTAGACACAGTCATATGGCAGAACATCAAATGACACACACAGGCGAGCGTCCGTTCAAATGTCAGTACTGCGGAAAGACCTTCACTCATAAGTCCAACATGGTCGCACACGTACGTATCCACACCGGCGAAAGACCATACCAGTGCCACTTCTGTCCCTGGAATTCTGCATGGAGGGGTGAGCTTACACGCCACTTGAAATTTCACAAGCGCAATGAACATTTGCCTTGGGGTGCACACGGTGTGAACCACAAAGGAAAAGGCTGAGGAGACACGTGGTGCATACGTCTTGTTCTGGGGCTTCAAGTGCGTTGCCAGAGGTGCTAAGCCTCGGGGTATTTTGTCTATGACATCTGGAACTGCACAGCTTCAACAGCATAACGAATAAGCATGACATTGAGCCATGTAAAAGCAGTTCGACAAACGCGTTAAATATTCTGACGAATGTTGTAGACTAGCTCATCTAGGTGCGCATCGAACTGTATGTGTAATATGTGTGCGAATCATCATGTACTCTTATTCATGTGATTATGTATCCTGCAATGGTGTAATGCATATCCTGCAATGGTGTAAGCTCGTGACATTACCCGCCGGCGGCAAAAGGATCATCCCGGTGTGATCAATCCTCGGGGCGGGAGTAGTATAGTTTAAGTTTCGAGATGTGCACTATATCGGTTGGGATTGAAGGTGTTGCTGACATGTTAAGGAATGGAGAAATCTCTAAGGTCATGCTGGTGACCTTGCGTATGACGCGGCAAGGGCCAACGTAACGGGACATGAGTTTTTCGCGAAGACCGACTCGTTGTGATGGTAACCACATCAAGACGAGTGACCCCTGGGTGTACTGTACGTTGCGTTGCTGGCGATTGCAAGCACTCTTTTGGTTAAGCTGCGAGGCACATAAACGATCCCGAGAGACTTGGTGGGCGATGTCAGCACGGGCCAGGGCATCACGAGCATAGCAGGCAGTTGATGAGGTGGCGTCGGAATGGAGCTGGGGGTCCATGGGTTAAGGCGGGTCATAACCAAACAGTAGGTAAAAGGTGAAAATCGAGCTGTATCATAACGTGAAGAGTTGTATGTGAAGGTAACGAAAAGTAAGTGAATATCCCAATCTTTGTGCTCCTTGAAGATGTACATCACAAACATATTTGTCAGGGTACAGTTGAGGTGTTAGGTGAGGTCGTTGGTTTGTGGATAGTACGCTGCAGTGAACTTGTGGTGGGTAGAGCAGGAGCTTGTCGACTATTTTAGATAAAAAAGAGTGGCTAGCGGTCGGTGATTAACTGACGAGGAGCACCATGACGCAGAATGATGTAATGAAAAATGAAATCGGCTATATCAGTAGCTCAGCTGGCGGAGAGGGCTCGTGTAACGGCATACCGCGCTTCATAGTCGGTAGCGATGGCAATCCGCTTATTACCGGAGGTCGACGCGGGAAAAGGTCCTAGAAGATCGAGGCCGACTCGGAAAAATGGCTCATCTGGTATTTCAATGGGCTGGAGGGTACCAGCATGCCCCAGTGCAGGTGTCTTGCGGCGGCGTGCAGAAGTTGCACGCCGTAACGTACTGTCGCACAGAACGGTAGAGGCCAGGCCTAAAGAATCGTCGGCGAACACGGTCATATGGGCGTGACACCCCTAGGTGTCTAGTGGTGGGTGCATCATGAAGCTGGGCCAAAACGTCTGAGCGAAGATGGGCAGGAACAACGAGCAAAAGCTCAGCACCATTTGGGCGGGTGTTGTAGTAGTGCAAGATGATGTGAAGAAGGAACATCTGTAAGGAGTGGTCATGGTGGGGAGATTGCATGCACACCATTGATAATAGGAGGCAAAGAGGAGTCGCAGTGTTGTTCAGCAGCTATGTTGGTGAAGGTTTTAACTGAGCTTGGTCATTGAAGCTTGGTCGAGGTGATGAGGTCCAATGACTGCGGCAATGGCGAGCGATATGTCCTATCCGATGGCACGTGAAACACATAAGCCGATCAGCATGAGTGCGTCATTCGGCTGGGTTTCATCCTGGCGTGAAGGTGTGGCTCGGAATTGCAGCCGCAACGACTGGAGCCGAGCTGGAAGTAGCAGAGGCATTTTGATGAGGTGGCGAAATGCCTATATTCGCGTTCTCTTGGCGAACCACGGCCTGTATCATTGAAACAGCAGCGATGTTGTGTCCTGGAGCACTGACGCTAGACATAGCAGGTGCCATAGCCTCAAGTTTTCGATGGACTATTCTGATGACGTTTTCTGGCGCTGGTAGTTGATGTAGTGTGGGCAAATCTGTTGATGTAGTGTGGGCAGGAGGACGTAGTCCCTCTGTTGAGAAGGCGGTCAATTTGGTGAACGACGCACCTACTTTTCGCCTGTTCGAAGCGACGACATGCATGCTTCAATGACCGACTTCACTGTCGGAGCAGTCCTTGCACAGCAGGAAATTGAAGGCCTCATCGGCAATTCCTTTCAGGATGTCTACGACTTTGTCCTCCTCAAGCATGTCCTTGTCGACCTTGTGGCCAACATGTCCTGGATGTATGCAATGTACTGCTCTGTGGATGTCTGGGCACGAGTCATAAGCTCTTTTTTTGAGGCCACTTTTCGTCCAATGGGTTTCCCAAATAGATAGCGTAATTTCCGCTTACATATGTCCCAGCTGATTAACTCTTGTTGATGGGTCTCGTACCAGAGTTTTGCCATGCCATGCAAGTAGAAGATGATGTTCGCCAACATAAGCGCCGAATCCCAATGGCTGCTGCTGCAGCTGCTGACGTGCTCATGCAGAACTAGCCAGTCATCGACGTCTATGCCACTTGTGCCGTTGAATAGACCTCCACCAGGGTACAGTCACAGAGTGACGTCACTGGTGCACGTGCAAAAGGTTGATTTAGAGTTACTGTATATGCTACCTTTAGGTAGCATATACAGTAACTATAGGGCGGTTGGCAAATCACTCCCGCCGGTGGCCGAATGGGGTGCAGTCGCTCATTGCCTGGGGAAAGCTTTTTTTTTCTTCTTGAAAATTTAATTTTTATCTCAAATTGGAAACATTCGCTGTGGTATGTGTCAGAGAACATCAAGGGGTGTGGTAAAGTGCGTGATGAAATATTTGGAACGCTGGCTGACTGTTTGTCTCGGAGAAGTGAACACGCGTGGCAGCCTGTGCAAGAACAGCGGTAGGCATGATGATGAGGAACAGAGTAGGTATGAACATAGGTATGATGTTGTGAGAGGAATATGGAAATGGGTCATGGTTCCTGGTCTGACGTTTGGAAATGTGGTCTTGTGCATGAGATCAGAAGTTCAAGCAAGATTAGAAATTAAGCAACGTGGAATAGGTAGGCTTGTCTTAGGAGCTCACGGGAATACACCAAATCAGGGAGTACAAGGTGATATGGGATGGACATCATTTGAGGGCAGGGAAGCTAGCAGCAAGATAAAATTTGAGAAGAGATTGAGAGAAATGGGGGAGGAGCATTGGGCTAGGAAGGTATTCAGCTACTTGTACATGAAGAATGTCGATACAAAATGGCGGAAGCGAACCAGGAAATTGACTGGTAAATACTTGGAAAACAGCAGGGGGCCAAACCAAAAAGAATTATCGGTTAAGAAGAAGGTGAAGGAAGCTGAGACCGATATGTGAAGAATTGGCATGATTAAGAAGTCCGCACTGGAGATCTATCGAACTTTAGCAGGAATTAGCCAAGGAAAGGATCTATGATAATACTCGGGGTAGTTCTCTACTGTTTGAGGCCAGAACGGGAGTATTGCGAACAAAGACATATCGGGCCAAATACGAAGTGGTAGACACGGTATGCAGTGTGTGTGGACAGGAAGAAGAAACTGCCGAACACTTGATAATGTTCTGTAAAGGGCTTCACCCTGTAGTTCAGGTTGATGGCGCAGAGTTTTTCAAAGCACTGGGGTTTAGAGACAGTGACGGCAAAATAGACTTTAAACGGGTAGAATTAACTAGGAGGAGGTTATTTGATTGGTGGCTAAAATCAAGGCACGAGTGAAAATAAACCCTTCACTGCAAAGTGCCAGTCCTCAACTTTACTATTTAAAGAAAAAAAAAGATAAATCTAGTTGCTGGTTCACTAAGTATTATGGCTAGGTGGCGTTAGCCGCCGCCGCCCTATCTAAAGGGTACAGCCACATCAATCCATCCAGCGGCATCGTCTTCGAAAATGTGGCGTGTTGACTGTGGAGTGTAGTGTGCCTTGAAAGGCATCGACAATATTGGTTCACCTTTATGGACGGTGAAAGTGGGAATATTGTGTGTGGTGTGTGCAGTGTGAATAACGCGATGCAGCCTGTTTGAGAAAGCACTGGTATTCGTTGTGGGCCGGTTGCAGTAACCGGCTGTCGAGGGAACTTTACCATCTGACATTTTAGTCACGTTAAAAATACATTTGACGCGATCATCTGCGAGCGGGTACACCTCAGCGTATATATGCATGGTGTGCAGAAAAGTAAAAGTGAATTATCTCCGAGTGATATATACGGCTACGCATGAGCTATAAGCATGTTGTAGCGTTGCCGAATCTGCATATACGGTTCGTTACGGCAATAACCTATATTATCGCATACCTGTTACGTGTTAATTAAAACAGCGGAGATTTTTATAATTTTTTATTTACTTTGTACTTTTACGATTCGATCCTTATGAAGTGACAATGCGCATTAGAAGTTTGTGTATATAGGTACGAAAACATGTTCTAGGTGTCAAATGCAGCAAGGTAACTGTGTCAGATAATATTATATAGTATTAAGTTGTTGGGTTTTACATCACTTAAATTTTCACTGGGTTATTGAGAAACGCAGCGGGAGAATTTCATTTTATTTTTTACGAGGATATGTTAACCTCAGCCTAATGCATGGCAGGAAGTGTCTTGTTTTTTTTTTTTTTTTCATTCATCTCAGATCAAACTTTTGTGCAATAAGTGAGAATCATATGACGTCGCGCACAGAAGCTCAAAACCATGCTGCCGCTAATGCTGCACCTCATTTAAAGCTGCATTGCACATGCCACGATGGAAAT